AGAAGAAGAATGGAAACCTTTTATTTTCCTTTTTGGTAGGAGCTTACTCTCTAGCCCAGGCTGGCCTTGAACTCACTGTCCTCCTGCCTTAGTCTCCCAAGTGCTGGGATCACAGGCATGTACCACTGTGCCCAGTTTTGGAAACCTTCTTTTTATCCTTGGTGCAAAGTGACAGTGGTTTTTAAAAACTTCTTTATCTTTTTCTTATAACAACAGCAATACATAGTCTCAGTAGAAAAATAAGATGATATATAGAGGCTTTTTTTTTTTTTTTGTGCCGGGGATTGAACTCAGGTCCTTGTGCTTTCAAGGCAGGTAGTGGAACCACTGAGCTAAATCCCCAGCCAATAAGACAATGTAGATAATGAGAACTAAGGAAAAGACATTCCACATTTACCAGCTCCAGCACCTTGTGTATGAGTCTGTTGGGACGTAGAGCATGGGTGTTTGAAGTGTCCACCTCATAAGAACATCAGGAAGGTTTTGGGAAAGGATGATACCCAGAGCACCCGTGAGGGCCAGCACAGGGCTTGGTGGTGTGACGGCTCCCTCCTGCTCACAAGGAGCTGTGCTGTCCAGAAGAGGAGTGCAGCCTGCTAACATGACCTTGAGTGGCTGTTTCAGCTCTCTGTGCCTTGTCTTCCTCATCTGTGAAATAGGAACCATAATGGTGCCCACCACCATGGTGTGGAAGGACATCTACAAGCCCAGTGTGCATTAAGTGGCATTCTGTATGAATATGTGACTTGCTGTCACAGGGTGGTGGGCCGCCTGTGGTCATAGTTAGGACACAGCCCTTGATGTGACAGGTGCCAGCTCGTTTCCCCCAAAGGATGCTGTGCCCAGTCCCGATGGGAGGGGAGAGGAGTTTTAGGGGCTGCCCAGGGGAATAATCTTTTTGATAGTCATGATTTTTTTGATTACCTTTTATTTGCAGCAAGTGATATAAAAATATTCCTTTTCAGATAAATCTGAGTAAGAGGGATTCAATCTACAGAAAAGTGTGGAGTGGGTAATGGAACATGTGACACGTGGATGCAGTGGAAATCACGCCCGATCATGTAGATGCCATCCTTGGGAAGTTCTTGCTCTCACGGAAGAGCCCCAGAAAGGCCTTTGGTTATTGGCAGGGCAGGTGCCACCCCTAGACACCATCCAGTCCAACCCCTTCCTTCTGCTAGTGAAGAAACTCAGGGCCAGGATTTAGCTCAGTGGTTCCACCACCTGCCTTACAAGCACAAGGTCCTGAGTTCGATCCCTGGTACAAAAAAAAGAAGCAGTCAGATGCAGAACTGGGTGCTGTAGGTTAAAGATGCTCCTTGCTCTTGATGTTGGTTCCCACCCACTGTCACCTAGACATGCTGGACCAGCCAATGGCTTTCTGCATCTCCCCAGCTGTGGGTACGGTACCTGCACAACCATGTCAGGCACAGCTCTAGTCATTGACCCCAGGGCCCAAATCTCAGCCACTGAGGGGCTGGGTGGATGGGTGACTCCCCAGGTGTCCCAGGTCCCAGTGACAGTGCAGCAGAGAGGCCCACTGAGCTCGGCTGTCACAAGGTAACCTGCTCAGGCACACGCCCTCGTGGGCAGTTTTCCTTTCCCTTTCTTCACATTCCAGCTTCTTGATGTAGCGAGACTGAGGCTTCCAGATGACTCTAGAGCTTGTTGTTGCTGAACACAGATGCAGGAGCCTATTGGTCCCTCATGAGGCCTGAGTTTGCTTATCTTGAGGACACTGTCAGGAGTAGACTTCAGTTTCCCTCTTTTTTTTTCTTTAAAACCCCTGGACTGTTACTGATGAAAATTCAAGTCAAATGCTTCCACTTGAAAATGACTTACACATTTAAACACAAGTGCTTCTCCCACAATTTGTGAGTCCGTGGGAAAGAACAAGGGACCAAGGAGGGCAGAGTGTGAATGGTGGGAAACGAAGCCCCACGCTCAGGGCTAGCGGCTTCCTGGTCCTAGAGGTCCTGAGGCTAGAAATAAACTTCCAGAGATGAGGAGAATCCGGGCTTCAAGGAAAGAAGGAGGGAAGGAGACTGCAGAGAGAGAGAGAGATTTTGACATCCAAGGTTGAAGGTAAAGTGCTTTTTGAATTAAATCTTAGCTAATCAGTTACTTTAGTGAACTTGAATGCGCCTTCTGTAGGAGTGAGGTTTTTAAAGGAATTTCTGGGTCCTCAAGAGTACGTCATCAAGGCTAATTTTCAAGGGTGTATTGAACTATACTTCTCTGGTCCCCTTCTCAGAAATGGGTGTCCTTGTTTTAGACCAGTGGTTCTGAGACTTTCATTTTACAACACTCGGAGAGCATTAAAACCCAGATTACTATGTCCTGGCTCAGAAGTCCTGATCCAGTAGGTCTGGGATCCACAGGGGAGGGGTATTTCCATTACTAACCAGCTCCCAGATGGTGTAACCCAGGGACCACACTTTGAGAATCACTGTCCTAGATCCAGAACATCCACAATGCCAAGGTTGGGTTATTTTGTAAAATGAGCCCAGGGTCTCAGTTCAGAAAAATGTAGATGCTGCTGCTGGTAAAGCTTTGGAAAGTTTGGCTGACAGCATCCCAGACATAATAAAAACACCAGCATCTACAGTTTTCAGAATTCAAACAAACAAAAAAAACCTTCCAAAACACATTCAGCAGCAGCACGTTCAGCACATTCAAAACAGATCAGCAGCGGCCATTCCATTGGCCCGGCTCACCTTTGGGGCTTTGGAGGGCGTCATCAGGAGATCTCTTTCAAAGCAGGATGGGATGAGTGGGTTGTAGAAGCATCCTGCCCCCGGGGGCATGTGATTGGGCCTGAGAAGCACTGATGGCCTTTTGTTATGGCCATGAGCAGCTTTAAACTCTATCAGTGGGGCCAGGGAGTGGTTGCTGTGTGGTGATCCAGAGAGGGAGGTGGGGAAAGATGGCGGGTGCCCACAGGATGGTGCCCCTCCTCGGCACACAGCTCAGGACTCAGATCCTAGCCCACAATCATCTGCTAAGGTCAGTTAAGTAGCAGAATGGCCCAGTGGCCCAGCTGCTGCTCTCTGAGCTTCATTCAGCGGAACCTTGGGTTCTGGGAGTTGCTTGTAGGGCTGGTGGGAGATACCAGGCCCTGTGGCCCACTGTTCTGCAAGAGGAGGGCCTCTGGCTGTGGGCGTAGCTCAGTGTTACACCACATGCTTAGTGTGTGAGATGCTTTGGATTCAATCTTCAGCCCCTATCCCCCTGCAAACAAAAACAAAACCAAAACCCCAAGCACCCCTGCTTTGATTCTATACATTGGCATCCATGGGATTTTTAAGAGGGCACCTGTGACTTAAAAACAAAGTTTGAGGACCCATGATCCTGAGGGTCTTTTCTAGTTCTAAAATTCTGAATGTTTGATCTCTAAGTAATAACGAAAAAGGGCCCCTGAAATCCTATTTCCAGTTCTTCAGCTCCAGTAACTGCAGATAAATTGTGGATGAATTTTGGTAAGACTGAGATGCTGGAGAATTCTCCACCCCTCCCTATCCTCACCAGCCTTTCAAGGGGCAGTGGGCAGGTCAAACACACCCAGAGAACTGGGCACTAGACCTCCGCCCAGCAGCCTTTTCCTCTTTCGAGTTTGAGCTGCGCCTCTACAGGGGTGTCCCCAGCTCCCAAGTGGAGTCACTGCTCATTGAACCCCTGCTCCCACGGAGTGGGCCCACATCCCAGATGTTCATTCAAGTGCAGGTCCCAGAGTTCATGCAGGTGGCTCTGTCGGCCTTGCGAAGGTGCCACAGGAGAGAAGCTGGTGTTGAACGGAAAGCTCACTCGAGAGCCCTTGTGGTAGTTGAGCATTTCCACCTCCTCATGGTCAGCATCAGTGATCTGAGGTCCTCCTAGATTAGGGACCTCTACAAGGATGACGGAGGAATCAAGTGTCTTTCCTGGGAACGCATCCAAGACCTGGCTAGAACTATCCCGACTGCAGGGTGGCAGGTCCCAAAATACCTTGGAGACCTCGTGTCTTGACCGTCTTACCTGTGGACGGTGCCCTTACAGGTTTAGCCAAGCCACACAGCCACCTGTATTAATGAGCGTCCATTGCCAGCATTCATCCTGCCTGTCAACCTGACAGTAACAAGTCAGTGAGAGCCCTCTGAGCAAAGCCTCGGGTTGGCAGGTGTGTATGGCATAGGTGTCAGGGTGAGGGTCTCCCACATCAATGCTGTGCCCATCCAAGGTAATGTGATCTATTCAAACAAGGCCAAAGAGATGAAAATCTGATTCGTGGGAAAGTCTGGGGAGCAGACTTTCTGCAATGAGTCTTATTTCCAACTCCAAAGGAACGGATGCTGTTCACGACAGTGCTCAGTCTGAAAAATGCATTTTGTCTTAAAGTTCTGTCTCAAGGTGAATGTTATCAGTTCTTGGGACTAAAACTATTAAAAGGCAGGATTTCAGTACTAAGGGAAATGTTTTTTTTTTTTTTTTTTGAGTAGCCTTAGAAACTTAGGTCACTGATGGCAAGATCCAGTTACTTAGATGCTAACGTCACTTGGTTTATAGATACACCCTAACTCTCAGAAGTTTCTAGATCAAGGTTTCAATTTGGGGACTGTAGACGTTTTAGGCTAGCACATTCTTTGTGGCTCATGGCGTGGGCATGTGTGTGTGTCCTGTGGATTGCAGAATATTTAGCTACCTCCCTGGCTCTACCCATTAGATACTAGAAGCACCCCGCCATTCAAGGTATGACATTGAAAAGCATCTCTAGACATTGCCAAATGTCCCTGTGGGTGCAGTCACTCTAGTCAGAACTGCTGTTTTACACCAGGTCCACAGGCTGAGCCAATTCTTTGCTGGAACAGAGTCGCAGACCCCCTTGCAGACCTGCATCTGAACAGAAATCTGCATTTCCTGGGTGATCCAAGGGCTCATACACCTGGCTGACTTTCACTTCTGCCTGATGCCTGTGACCCTGGTGTGTGACTGTTTCTCCTTGCAGGAAGCCGATGAAGCTTTGTTGCATAACCTGCACCTTCAGCTTGAGGCCCAGTTTCTGCAGGATGATATCAGTGTGGCCAAGGACAGGAACAAAAAGGTAACTGTGATGTTCCCATAGCCCTTGCCCAGGTTGGGCTCGTCTGTGAGCCCAGGAGCTCATGTCTGGAAATGACTGGCTTCCTTTGTCGTATTTTCCTCTGAGCCAAACTGGGGTTGGGCCGAGGGAACGGGCTGGTCACTGGCAACACTGAATGAGCCAGACACGCAGAGGAATAGGCAGCTGGGGTGCTTTGGGGTTGTGACCTTGGGAACTCGTATCTGTGCGTCCACTTCCTCCTATCTGCTCCCATGGATGGAGGCTGTCCAGTGCCTCCCCATGAGACCGAGCGGCTCTAGCTGCTGGGAGGAGCCCTCAGGTGCAGAGCCAGTGCAGAGGGAGGCACCCTGGGCCTGCGCCCCTGGTAGAGTCCACCTGAGTACCACAAGGAGAGGCTGGTGTTGCATTTGAGGATGAGGAAGCAGCCTGGAGAGGTTGGCCACACGCCTACGCTTCCATGGCGCCAGGATTTGGTTTTTCTAGCACCCCAGAGTCAGGCCTGTGAGGCTGGAGAGTGGAGAGAACTTGGACATGACGGAGAGGAAGCTCCTGAAGAAATGTGTTCTCCCAGAACTAAGAGCTGTAACTATATACATATTTGTATGTTCTGTACTTCTGCATTTTCTGGGCTGAAAGAGTTGACTGTTCCTGTTTTGACTTAGACTGTACCAGGGATGGCGAACCTTTCGGAGCTTTCAATGATATAAACGGCCCGTTGTGGCACTCGCCATAGGTTTGCCACCAGTGCACTATGCTATGCACTGTCTATACCACAGACTAGTTGTAAGTGCTATAGCTTAATTGAGAGATCTAAATGGCTGTGTAAATTACAGTGACAATATATGAGGTTTAATGGAAATACGTGGTGAATGTTTAAATTTAAAATTATAGGGCCGGGGTTTGGCTCAGTGGCACAGTGCCTGCCTGGCAAGTGTGAGGTCCTGAGTTTGATCCCTCGTGACAAAAAAAGAAATTATTATAGTAAAAGGCACATTGCCACGAATCCTCCTCCAAATGCTTCCCCTCACTGTGAACACACTTATCCCGCTGTTCTTGCCACTTTTTGTTTGAGATATGTAGTTCAGGCTGGCTTTGAACTTACTATGTAACCAGGCTGGCCTCAAACTTGTGGTGATCCTCCTGCCTCAGCCTCCCAAAGGCTGAGATTACAGGATTGCACCACCAAGCCCAGCCCTTTCTTGGTGCTTTCTGAAGCCATTCTGAATGTCCTCTTTCATGAGTGTCTTTAGTCTCTGTTGTGACTGCCTTGATATCCTCTTTGGTTCAGAATATTTACCATTCTTGGTCATTTTGACTTTGGGGAAGAGTCGGAAGTCACACAGTGCCAGATCCAGTGAATAAGGTGGATGAAGAAGACACAGCATTGTTTTTTCTCGAGCCTGCCTTTCTGTGAAGCAGCACTCGGCAGCAGCATTCGCTGTACTTTCCATCACACCTTCTAAAGAAGACTTCCGGAACTACTTCAGAAAGTGGCAAGAGCAATGGATGAGTGTGTTCAAGATGAGGGAGAGGATTGTGAGGGGGATTCATGGCAATGTGTTTTTTGTTGTTACGGGGGATTGAACTCGGGTCCTCGCACTTGCGAGGCAGGCGGCAGAACCTCTGAGCTAAATCCCCGGCCCTTGGCAATGTGTCTTTAACTGTAATAAAATCTAAGAAGTTTAAGCGCTTACCATCTATTTCAGTCACCCCGTGCATCAACACCTTGGCTCCCTCTCACCTCTGTGGGGCAGCTCTGAGGCTGCCGCTCTCCCTGACTAGCCTACCATGGAGCTCCAGGTGCCTGTCGGTGGCTGGCTAGTAACACCCTGACCGGCTGCCCATCCTGCTTCTCCCCATGCCCCCACTGGCCGTGTTTCCTGGCTTTGTCCTCAAATCATCTAAGTGCACTCAGATCCTTCTTGCACGGTCTGCTCCTAGGGAAGACAGAGTGATGCACTGGGAGCGTGTGGTGCTCCACAGTCCTCTGTCCCCAGCCAGTGCTGTGTGTGCTGAGGGTCTGTGCGCAGCTGTGCCTTCCCTTCCTGCTTGCAAACCTCCGACTTCTGAGATGGTGACCCAGGTTGGTCCCTATAAGCAGAGCCAGGGAGAGGGGAGGGAAGGAGGGAGCCCAGCCCAGGGCCACACCTCTGGAGTCCTGCGTTAGTCCTGCCAGTGCTGGGTGGGATGAGGCGGTCATGTAGCTTCCTGGACAAGGTGACCAGGGCTGGCCAAGGAGCGGGCTGTGGTATCAGTCGTCACTTGCAGCTGAGGACAGGCGCCTGGCTGGGAAAGGGACCTGGCAGCCTGCAGATGGTGACCCTGTTTTGTAGCAGGATGTGCCTGAGACCACACTTATGGTCTGCCAGGCTCTGCAGAGCGAGGCCACCCATCCATGGAACACTGTCCTGGGCTGGAGTCGGGAGGGGTCCTTTGTCCCTCTAGGCCTTGTGTTCCTGCTTTCTCTGTGAAGACAGCAGCCCAATGCCAAGGTCGTTGAAGGGAAATGGCAGAAGGAGCCATGCCTGAGTTTACCCATCTGCCTTGTGGTTCTCGTGAAGGTTAAAGGACATGTGCTGGGGACCATTGGCGGCAGCTCATCCCCACCTTGGCTGGAGTCAAGAGAGTGTGGAAGAACCTTTCCTGGGCTCACGTGATTGCCCTCCCTGCCCTACAGAATCTTTTGGAAACCCAGACCTACATCAGCATCCTACAGCAGATCATCCGGACGGCACCTCAGGCTGTCACGTGTAGCATGAGGGAGGTGAGCATGGGGGTTGTAGGAGGGGAAGCTTTCCTCACCCTGGGGCCTCACTGACCTCGAGGCACACTGGGTCAGACGCCTGTGTCGGTCAACTTCCTGCCTGGTCTCTGAGGTGGCTTCTGTTGGAGACTGTCGGTTCCTGCTGTGTGCTCCACAGGAAACTCCCAGACCTCTTTCCTGCAGCCTTGTGTCTGCTGCCAAAAACACTTCCACAGCCCGGCAAGCGAGAAAGGACGGCTACTTAGGTCCAAGGCTGAGGGCCATGTCTGGTGGTGGCCCTCACGCTGGCAGAGCCCAGGGTGGTCCTGGGCATGGATGTGTCTCCTCTGATCTGTCTTCTCACAAAGCCACCAGGACTTAGTCATGGGCCCCCTTGTGAAACGCCATCTTCCTGCGAAGCTTCCATTGTCTCTGCCCTACATCGGGGGCTGAAGCAGAGAGGACAGGCAGATCCCGGCCACTCACGCTCACTGCCCCCCGCTGTGAACAGGACTTCTGGCTGCTCTGTGTCCTCACTCCACTCACTGCGTCAGCCTTTGCCATTGTATGTTTTGCATGTGAGTCTGACTGTGGTCTGGATTTGCGTCCCTAGGGACGAATACGCTGGGTGTAGCTTCCTGTTCTCACGGGGTTCCAGTTCTATCAGGCCTCTCACTGTCATGACCGAGGCTGACCCTCGTCACCCCCAGAGGTCCTCCCTTCTGATACCGCCCCCTGGGCTCAGAGATCCACACACACAACCCCGGGGAACACAGGCATGCATGAGTCTGTTGCAAGCCCCTCTTGCCCTGGTGTTTCCTCCGTGTGATCGGAGCATGGCCTTCTTTTGCAGGAGAAGCTCCTGATGGAACGAGAGGTGGCCTCACTGCAGAGTCAGCTGGAGGAGAGCCGGGAGGCACTGTCCCACCTGCAGGCGCAGCGTGCAGAGCTGCAGGCCCAGGTATGCGCCCACGTGGGACGCCTACTTTACGCGCTTTATTGATGGGTTGCGGGCGCGTGCAGGTACCCAACTCTGAATTGTCACCCACCAAGCACACCTGTGTCCCACAGAACGGCCTTCCGAGCTTCTGGTGATGGGCGCCCTGCTTTCCCCAGCTGAGGTTCCCTGGATGCAGGACATTCTGTGTGCAACCTGGGGGAGTCCTGGGCAAATGGAGGCAGGGTTAGGGGACTCCCTGGTCACAGCAGTCACCTGAGGTCCCCTCCCCACCAAAGGTGAGGCTGTCCAAGGTGGCCCTAACCCCAAACGTGAGGTCATTTCAGTGTCAGTGGCCACTCAAGTCCCTGTGCACAGGTTCATTCATTTGCTGTGTATTTTGGTGGCCAGGAAGAGGATTTTCTCGGGGCCACCTGTGCAGATGGAGGTCACTTGCCTTCTTGTGCCTCCTGAGTGCAGGTGTGTAAGGGTCTTTGCAGCAGGGAGCAGGCTGCTGTGGTCCTGGCCATCTTCCGCCCTTCCCTGTTCTGTGCTCAGGACACTGGGGCCCGGCTTCCTGGGCCCACAACTGCCCTTCCTGGGAGAAGGAGAGAAGGCAGTGGCCCTTTACACCCTCGGCACGGAAGGTCGGCGACATCGTTATCCTCAGAGGCAAACAGGGTGGCTTCTGAAGTTCCATTTTGTGGTGCTGGTTAGGGACTTCTTCATGGTGGATTCATTGTGCCAAGTTAAGCGTGTTCTGAAGAGAGGGGCTGGACTGGGTTTGCACCTCGCCATTTTGCTTCCTGTGTCTCTTCTTGGGGTCAGTGTCTCCTCTTGATATGACTCGAGCCGGACACAGTGGTCAGGGCAGTGTTTGCCTCCTGTTAGGCGCCATGAGGTCGGGCTGCCTGCCGGGGCCACGCTCTGGGCAAAGCCGCCTTGGAGTTGCAGCAACCCCTGTGGGTGGCTTCCTTCTCAGCCAGGGCATAGTGGCTCAGCACCCGCTTCTTTCTGATTCAGTCTCCTGTACTGCACAGCAGCCACCCTCACGGGCAGTGCCAGGTCAGAGCACCATACCTCCAAGAGGCCGCGGCCCTGAATCCGGGCAGATGTGGGTGTGAATTGGTCTCCCTCCCACGCCTCAGCTGAAGTGGCGTCTTTCATAGCAGCCACGACCTCCAGGAGGCCTGGGTGGGCCCTGGGGACCTGAGCTCAGGGTCCTGCTGTCCACGCCGAGCACACTGTGCATGGCTCCCACCCAGCAGCTGGGGGCCTGGGGACGGGGACTGTCCCCCGACTAACAGAGGTCACAGCGGGAGACATGGAGACTCGTCCTTCTCAGGAGGCAGAGTGTGGTTCAGAACTGTGACTGTGCTTTCCTGTGAGGTCCTGAGGGAGAGAGGGACAGGGAGGGGAGGAAGAGAGGGCAGGAGAGGACAGGAGCGGAGCGGACAGGAGAGGAGAGGGGGTGTGCGTGGTGTGTGAGTGAATGTAGGCTCATGTGTGTGCATGAGGTAGGTGTGGTGTGCGCGTGTGTGTGTGCGTGTGCTGTGTGCCGAGTATGGCTGAGGAAGTGGGCGCAGGCCCAGCCGTTGTCTAAGACCAGTGTTTCTCACACTCGACATTACAACTCACTGTAAAATGGACTCAGTGGAACTGAGTGGCACAAGAAAGAAACCACTGAACTCTTTTTTTATTGTCTCATTGAGTGTATTGGTACATTTTAGGTATACAGTCTAGTTACATTCATTACTGGGGTCTTGTACCTCTACATGACAGGTCTTGGTTCTCATTTTTTCCCCTTGTCCCTGCCCTCCCTTCACCCCCTCCTCCCCTCCATTTACAAATCAGAGTGTGGTTCAGAACTGTGACTGTGCTTTCCTGTGAGGTCCTGAGGGAGAGAGGGACAGGGAGGGGAGGAAGAGAGGGCAGGAGAGGACAGGAGCGGAGCGGACAGGAGAGGAGAGGGGGTGTGCGTGGTGTGTGAGTGAATGTAGGCTCATGTGTGTGCATGAGGTAGGTGTGGTGTGCGCGTGTGTGTGTGCGTGTGCTGTGTGCCGAGTATGGCTGAGGAAGTGGGCGCAGGCCCAGCCGTTGTCTAAGACCAGTGTTTCTCACACTCGACATTACAACTCACTGTAAAATGGACTCAGTGGAACTGAGTGGCACAAGAAAGAAACCACTGAACTCTTTTTTTATTGTCTCATTGAGTGTATTGGTACATTTTAGGTATACAGTCTAGTTACATTCATTACTGGGGTCTTGTACCTCTACATGACAGGTCTTGGTTCTCATTTTTTCCCCTTGTCCCTGCCCTCCCTTCACCCCCTCCTCCCCTCCCCATTTACAAACACTTCATTTCCAACCACTAAACTCTTAACATTATAAGAACAGCAGCGTGCGTACAGGCAAAAGGGCAGGGCTTGTTTTGAACACGTACATTTATATATTTAAATGCACATTTGTTCAGCACCCCCCATGCATTTCTGTGACACATGTGGCCTGCGTTGTGCAGTGTGTTGTCTCTGGTGGCCGGGATGAGGGCACTGGAAGCCACTGCCTTGGATACTGAGAAAGTTGGAGAGCCCAGTGGGGCACGGAAAGTTCTAGTTCCAGGGTGAACAGATTTCTGCTCCCTCCGTCCGCGTCTGTGCTGGCTGAATCTAGGAAACGTCATTAAGGACCGGCCTGGTTTCCGAGGGCACGAGGCACACTGGGTGCCTGGCCCAGTCCCCGGCAGAGGACTCACTGGCGGACCCTGGGCTCATCCTCTGTCCAGGCAGGGTCTCGCCCTTCTCTTCTGTGCCATCCTGTGGATGCCTTCTCAGGGAAATGTTAAAGGCATGAAATGAGCAACAGGCCAACTGCTGACACTGAAGGGGAAAAGTCATCAGTGGGAGCCATTGGAAGTCGGGGGCTGTCTGTTCTTATGTAGTCAGGGGCTGGGCTGCAGGACCTGCTCATATATGGAGTGGTATTTCCACGTAATCTAGGCACAGCCTCCTGTGTACTTGAAATCACCTCTAGATTACTTAGAATACCCAATATAGTATAAATAGTTGCTTGATAAACAGTGTTACTGCATTATTTAGGGAATAAATAATGACAAACAAAACAAAACAAAACACCAGAGTGTGGTGGCACATGCCTATAATCCTAGCACTGGGGAGGCTGAGGCAGGAGGATCTCCTAAAGCTTGAGGCCAGCATAGGTTGCACAGAGTCAAGGCCATCCTGAAGTACATATGGAGATCATGTCTCAAAAAAAAAAAAAAAA